TCAAGCGTTCAAACATGTGATATGATGTTGGTCACATACCTACAATATGGTGGGTGTCAAGGTTACGTGAAAATTAGGTCAAGGTCACTGACCTTTAATGACCTTGGTTCACCTTTTCGAGTTTTACATGTTTCTAGGACAGTTTTTGGAGCTGATTTCGAATTTAGCATTCAGTTTAACATTTAAGAAGTTATAGTTTTAGTGCCTTCGTAACATGTTACGACGCCATCAGTGGTGGTTGACACCTATGACCTACATACTATGGATAAGCTACTTTACTATGGATAATTGATACTTTACTATGGATAAGATACTTTACGTATACCTATATGGTGCTCTTAGTAATCGCCGCCAACGTTTTAGACCGATTGTTCAGTCTGTGTAGCTATGACAGGCATTATAACTTTTCCTAAGGTAAGGCCGCTTGGACGTAACCTGGTGACCAAACCTTGAGTGCCTGGGTCTTAAAGTTATGCAGCATGTGTGAAAAAGATTCATGAAAGGGTGTGCTAAAAACGGCGACGCTCCACAACGCCGTTTTCGAGATATTTACATAAACCTACATGGGGTGTCCAAGCATCCCCACCGCCCGGCGCGGATAATTTTTTGCACGTGCAGAGCGCACCTTTGGGGTCCACCAGGAGATAGATATGCTCAATAACTATGCTGGGATGCATTCTGGGTGGCCTGTGTAAATTTGGCACTTTGAGCTTGCTAGCGCTACCCGCTCTGCCCGTATATGTGACACAGAGTGCAACATCAAAAGGTTTGCACGTGCACAGCACGTGCACCGTGTACCCCAGCACATCTATTGGCACAGCGCCTTAAAGCGCTCGTCCAGTAGTGTCAGTGTGCCAAATTTGCTGTGCCTAGGTCAAGGTTTTCCGGAATCGGAGGATGCATCCTCAAAACATGTTTTTCGCCCCTGGCGCGTGCATTCCGCACCCCCTGCTGCCGAGCATACCATATGTTAATGGTCAAACATCGGGACATGTGACCTGTGAATTTGGCACCTGTGCCGCGCGCGTATTTGGAATTTCCGACCTTGACGAGCGTCTGTGGTAGAAAACCACCACTTTGGTAGGGGAAACTACTGCTGTCTGCTACCATTTGCACTGCATGTGTCGCTATCGCTGCGACATCTATGCATATACATGTAAACCACGACATCTGTGTGCGCTGATTCTAGTACTATTAGCTAGGGCACCAGGGTGGATCCAGACTTTCGGTTTGAGGCAGGGCCGGGGTGCAGAGCCGGAGCCGGAGCCGCCGGAGCCGGCATATTTTGCCCGGAGCCGGAGCCGAAGCCGTGAAACAATATAGTTCGGAGCCGGAGCCAGAGCCGGAGCTGTCAAAAAAGGGGGCGACTCCGGCTCCTTTTTTTGAAGAAGAAACAAATATTGACCTAGTTCGGTTTGTCAAACCGAACTGCCTTGAACTTGCAGTTCCAGGCAGTAAGAAATACGGTATTCAAAATATGAAAATAGCCTTAAGTTATGCAAATGGAGAAGCAACGTGCACCAATCCCATCTTCTTTTTTCTGCCACCCGTAGGTATTTAAAATGTACTGATTATTGGAGCCGGAGCCGCCGGACCATTTTACTCGGAGCCGGAGCCGGAGCCGGAGCCGCCATGGCATTTCACCCGGAGCCGGAGCCGGAGTCGGAACCGTCTGAAATGTCCACGACTCCGCATCCCTGGTTAAGGGTGGGCGTGGGGTAACTCATGGCCGGCCCGATCCCTGGCAGTCCGGTTGCTGAGCGGGGGGGGGGGGGGAGAAAGGTCCAATATGATGCCACACCTGTTGCCTATAGGCATATATAGCATGTATTGGTTTGTATTGGTATTGGTAAAGTTAAAGCTAAAGGTTATTAAATAAGTTAAAAAATACCGACGCGGAGCGCCGCCGTTTTTAACCCGCGCCGGGCCGGTGCTCTGAGATTCCGCGCCGGGCAGGGGGGGGGGGGGTCTGAACACCCCCCCTTCTAACTCGGCCCCTGGGCCACGTAGCGACACGCGGTAAGCGGCAATCGAAAGAACGTCCAAAATAAGGACGAAAACACTTCGGTCATTTTTTGGGTCAGGTCAAAGGTCAGGTCACCAGAGGTCACCAAAGGTCAAATGTCCGCTATTTCAACATTTTGGAAACTACCAACGGCTATCTCGGGAACCGATAGAGCTACAGCGCCGCGGAAAAGCGCATTCGATAGCCCTTTTACAGACCTTTCTGAGTAATGTTCTCAGATTTGACCTCAGGTCAACGGTTTAGCCTCCAGGGGGCAAAAACTCCAAAAATAGCCGTTTTTACGAAAAACGTTTTTTCGGCAATAACTTTTGACTCAAAAGAGTCATGACATTACTTTTACCACCATCGTGTTCCTCTCGTCGAGACGCGTCGAATGAACTATAATTTGACCTTGAAAGGTCAACTTGAAAATTTGACCTCAGGTCAAGGTCATGACCTGACCGGGAAAGGTCATGTTGCATATCAGTCGATCCGCAACGTCGAGCCGAACACATCTAAGGCGTTTTCAGCGCTCTAGCACGTCTCTATCAGAAGTTATTAGCGAAAAACTGTTAGATTCTGTTCGTGACCTGAGATGACCTCGGGGACATAAAGAGGGGTCAGAGTTGCCATTTTCCGGTTCAGTGTGTCCATTTTACCTACATCTCGATGTTTGAGAGTGTCTAGAATAACGTTCGTGCAAAACAGACGCTTTTCAATTTTCTCTCATTGACTTATAATGGAGAGGTCGCAAAATTGACCTGACCTTAGGTCACCGATATCAAAATTCCGAGATATACATTTTATAGATATTGTTGCTCTAATCAATCGCTGAAAGTTTCAAGGCAATCGATCAATCGGTGTAGCTATGACGAGCATTCTTATTTTTTTCTGAGGTGAGGTCACTTGGCGTGACCTGGTGACCTGACCTAAGGTGACCTGGGTCTGAAATTTTCACAAGATGTGCGGAAAAGATGCACGAACAGGTGTGCCCGCCGCCGTTTTTGAGATATCTGCGAAAAACCGCAGGGGGGGGGGGTGTTCAAACACCCCCCCCCCCGGCCCGGCGCGGGTTAAGATATCCGCAAAAAACAAATCGTCAACTTGATGAATCGATAAAAATCACTAACATCTCAGGAGGCACACTGCTGAGTGCTGATACCATTCAATACATACGTATATACCTATGGGCAATAGGCATGTCTTTTGGGTCATTATATTGGACTTTCCTCCCCCCCCCCCCCGCTCAGCAACTTTGACTGCCGGGGATCGGGCCGGCCAAGAGTCCGCCCACCCTCAAACTGAAAGTCTGGATCCACCCTGCTGCCCTGCTGCCCTAGCTAATCGCTAACTAGAATCACCCAAGAATCAGCGGCCACCGCACACACACGTCGCGATTTAATATGCATAGATGTCGCAGCTATAGCGACACATGTAGTGCAAATGGTAGCAGACAGCAGTAGTTTCCCCTACCAAAGTGGTGGTTTTCTACCACAGATGCTCGTCGAGGTCGGAATTTCCAAATACGCCTTAAAGGTAGACTGCCACCTTTTTTCCACAAAACGGTTTTCACTAGAGCTGAGCCACCTATGTCCCAGACTGAAGTCGGTTTTCCGAAATTCGAACCCGTTTGCGAGAAATCGGAGACCAAAGTTCAGTTTGATGCCATTTTTTTAGTCCAAGAAAACCGACATCTCTACTGTTTATCGATAACTTTGAAACATGAATTTTCTTATCTTTTGGTAAATATATGTCAAAACTTTGATTGTTTCGAGATCAGAGAAGAATTTTGGAGTGTCAAAATAAAAGTTAAACTTATATATTCAGTAGTTCATTTTTCCAAAAAAGTGTGGGAAATGGGGTTTAACATGGGCCAGACCCATTCCAAATGAGCCATGATTTTTAAATGTTTTACGAACTTAAATGCAAAATAAATTAAACATGGCCAATTTCTTATGAAATCATATATTAGTAAATCATAAAATACCTTACTTTTTCAAATAAAATGTAATAATCTTATGACCTTGAAGTCTAGTGATGTGTAAACATTGTCGCTAGACATTAACCGATTGATAATTGTATGATAATCGACAATTTTTTTCGCGATTCACGTGATGATACTTTGTCAGGTGAATTCTAAAATTTTGTTTTGTCCAGGGAATAAATCATAGGCCGATCTGAGAAAACTTTTTGAAGGTGGCAGTCTTCCTTTAAAGGGACCCTCCCACCTTCAAAAAAGTTAATGAATTGGCATGAAAGTGATGTCCCTTGGTTCAGAAAGAGCGAAAACGAATATCTACCAAATTTCACCGAAAAATATTCACTGGTTTTCAAGATATTAGGCTTTTACTTTTGTTTACTTTTTGGGATCTCCCCTGTTACTAGCGACTTTATTTGGAAGCAATAATTTGGCAGCCTTAAAGTGCGGCAGACGTTGCGCGCAAAGCAGCGTATACCACCACGTGTTAACGATGGTTTTAGTCTAATATTTAAAAATCGTTAGATCTCCGCTGACGTCACAAATTCTAAGGGGGCATTCCAATGCATTAGCCCCTTAGAATCCGAAAACTGCAAGTTTGAAATTCCATATCTTCGAATTAAAGCATTTTTCGATGTTGTGAGTGCCCAAACCGGTATTTGCAGGCCATGGCCACCAATTTGGCTATCTCAACTCAAAACTAATGTTAAGGTGGGAGTGTCCCTTTAAAGGATTTTGCCCTTCCCGACTTTGTCGGCACGTGGCACGCGCCACGTGACACCGATTGACCTGTGACATGCATCATCACCTGCCTCAAGGCATTACCAATCGAACGGTACCACCAGCATCTCGATCCGATCATCTGTTTAGACGCAATTCCAATTGTAATGGTTCGATGACCTTTCAGAGCACGTTTTTTTGGCAACGTAAGATGGCGCCTTGTCGGCTTCACGAATGGAGCTTGGAATGGAGTTACATTGACATGCACGGTGATAGAATACTAGTTACATGTTACATATGACCAAGCATATGACCTTGCATATGACATATAAAGCGTTGAATGGAGCCTTCTGTAGCGGTTTTGCGTTGGTTTTGCTAGTGAAATTACCAGCGCAATTTCGAGTGCGATATTTGGAAGCTTATGTTTGAGGTCTTCTCGTGCTGTTTCAGTTCTTTGGATTCGCTTTGAACCGGAAGCTTTCGTTTGGGAAGCCGTTTCAGTTTTGAGCTTCGGCTTCCTTCGCGTCAAGTTCAGGTGAGCTCGGGACTATTCACCTTATTGTTACCTCTGTTATGTCTTTTAAAGATATATACCAATTTCCTTAAATTATTTGTTTGTTACAGTTTCACAATTCGTCATGCTCATAATGATCAGAATGAAAATTAATAGATGCTTACAAGTTACAATGCAACAGCAGTTTTTAATGATTTTTACATCAGTTGGGGAACTATGGGTTTGTTCCCGTCGCTCCTCTAACCTCCTCCAAGCTCCTCTAACCTTCTCTCGTTTCAAAAAATCATTCCCGTCGCTCCTCCAGGCTCCTCCAAGCTCATCTTGATTTCACATCTCACCACCACTATTTGCCTCCTCCCTCATCCCAAACGAAAGTTGGTTTTTTGGAGGAGGCTTTTGCGTAGACATATTTGGCGCACGTAATACAAATGTGAATTGTTAATAAATGAGAATTGAGGGAAGTGGAAATGATTTTAGTGATTGATGACGATTGGATATCTTTAAATAGTAATGTTTGATATTATTCTAAGGTTATTTTATTAGAAAGCGATTATTATCTCTTGATTTATGTTTGCGCGCCATAAATCGCCGACCGTTATAGCCCGCACACAGCTGATTTCCTCGCGAAAATGTTCCCGTGGCTCCTCTGAAACGGCTCTCCTCCAAGCTCATCCAACCTCATCCGAGATTTTTTGGGAGGAGCGACGGGAACAGACCCAATGAGGCGCCAAACTACAAATATTGCACAAATATTGGTATATGTGTGTGTGGTGTGTGATGTATAGTGGAATGTGATGGCGAGCGTGCTGCGGTCTGCTCTTGTTTAAATATTGTATCTATTTGTACCTATATTTGTATTAGTTTTGTAAAGTGTACGCCTCAATTGCGCAATGCGCGTTGCTACATGACCTCCAAAAGCCATCTGGGCCAATGTGCACGTGTGAATATTTGGTTCCGTTTCAATTTTTCAAATGTGATTGCCTCTGCTAGACCAGGAACCCGATGATGTCGTAAGACGAAAGCTCGTTCTATATTTTCGGCCTTATTTTGTTATATAAAAATACATCTCACTGCCATGTTATTGGTCAATTTCATCACCATATTTAATTGCCTGAAAATGACTCAAGAAACAGGACACAGGTCAATGAGAATGAGGGCCAGGGAACATGGTAATTGCATTTTCAGGAAATGTGTAGAATTGAAGTAATCACGAGAATACCTACCTACTAAAACTTTTGCCACGCTGGACCACTTGTTATGCGAGTTATTCGCGAAAAACCTAGGGGTGGGGTCTATCATACCCCTCAATAAGTGAGAGGGCTTATCGCTACTAGTCCCAAACACTGGGAAAAAGCTCAGCCGCACTCTTAGTTGACCATATAAAAATTTCCTCTTCAAGAATAAACCCGTTTCCCGAAAAAAACATAATACTTCTCCGTGTTGAACCGTAAACGCTTGACTGATTGAGACTATAGAGGGCGACCGTTCGGACTTCGGGCTGTTTCCTTCTCAAAGTGATGCCCCGTCCGGGTTTCAGTCGGCGTTCGATTATAAAATCTGCAATGTCTGACCTCATTCCGCGGTTCATCCTGACCTAGGCGGATCTGTAAAAAAAAACCTGTAGATAAGAAACCAACGATATAAGGAAACTAAAATTAGTAACGTGGTGATCGTGGGGATAGTCTGCATTGTTTGTTTGGTTAGCTAATAGTGAAATTTCCTCGCTTTTCTACGTGATTCGCTTAACTGCGTGCCCCCCCCCCCCCCCAGTGACGCGATTTCAGCTCCACGGGGGGGGGGGGCACAGGACACCCCATGTAGGTTTATGTAAATATCTCGAAAACGGCGTTGCGGAGCGCCGCCGTTTTAAGCACACCCTTTCATGCATCTTTTTCACACATGCTGCATAACATTCAGACCCAGGTCATTCAAGGTTAGGTCACCAGGTTACGTCCAAGTGGCCTTACCTTAGGAAAAGTTATAATGCCCGTCATAGCTACACAGACTGAACAATCGGTCTAAAACGTTGGCAGCGATTACTAAGAGCACCATATATACGTAAAGTACCTCTACCTCGGTAGTTCACTGTCACTGACCTAGGGTTCTGTTGATTTTGCGACCTTTCTATTATAGGTAGGGTAACTGTGGGGAAAACGCACCCCTGGGTTAAACGCCTCCCCTAAAAAAATCGTAGATCTTATCGGCGGATAGGTGTTTTATCCTGTCTTTCAGAACAGTCAGCTGCTTGTTTACGTAGTTCTCTATTTCCGGTTCTGCGTCTTGGGGAGCAGCGTGGGTAGGTGCTGATGTTGGTTTTGGGTGTTGTTTTTGTTGTTTTTACAGAAGATTCCTAAGCTTTTGATGCCCTCTTTATTTCACAAAACTTGCTATTGTGCACATCACTCAAAACTGCGTTTTATTGTCATTCTGTTGAATTTATTATGCTGTGGCGTTAGTGGCGCGTTTTTTGTCAATATTTTGTTGACCGGAAATGGAGTGGATGGGGAAAGACGCCTACTCGATGCATGGGGCAAGACGCCCCCAGTTTTCTGAAAGGGGGGCGTTTTGCACGGTGGTGAGAGTGCAGGGTAGCGCCCTGTAGGTCGGGGCCGAAAAGGCCTCTCCCTGTCCTTTTTTGCTGATACATCCTAAACGACTGCAGATATCGTCACCAAACTTTCAGGACTCCTCCGGGCATCCATTTTACACATTGCAACAACATTTTATTCCAAAGGCTATGATAGGTTGACCACAAATGACGTCAGAATGACGTCAAGTTGTGCCATGTTCATCATTTTCTCTGTTGATGGATGGGGTGGGGGCGCTTTGCACATGGGTGTGGGCGTATTACCCAGGGTGTGGGGCAAAACGCCCTTTTGTAAGGGTATGCGGAAACCTTTTTTGGGGGTTAAATACCACACGCAAGTGTCTTTTCTTGGTCTCAAAGCGTAGTAAAAAGAATGAGCTACATGATGGTGCCCAAAGGTTTGAGTAATCTGGGTTGGGTTGAGTGTCAGAAGGTTTCGCGCTTACTGGGGGCGTTTTTGACCTAATCACCCTAAGTCAATGGGAGACAATTGAACTGCGCTTCTGTTGCACGAAACTCATATTAACATACTAAACAATGCACTCAAATAACGGGACACGGGTAGCAGGGAAACGTGGCATATTTAATCGGGAAATTGTACCTGTGACCTCTACTTATGTCCTGGGGTTATTTCAGGTCATGACAGCCATCCACAACATTTTGACGGTTACCTTTGTTAGAGACATGCAAGAGCGCTGAAAACACTTTTGATATGTTTAGTTCAACTTCGTAAATTGAGGTTGTTGCGAGTTCTACGGGTCATGTATCAGGAATGTCATGTTTGTTCTGATCACAGCTGTGTTTTCATGCATTTAGGCCAGGTCGGGTCAGGTCAGGTCAACCAGTAGGTGTCCTGCCGCTTATCCATAGTAGGTGTCAACCACCACTGATGGCGTCGTAACATGTTACGAAGGCAATGAAACTATAACTTCTTAAATGTTAAACTGAATGCTAAATTCGAAACCAGCTCCAAGAACTGTCCTAGAAACATGTAAAACTCGAAAAGGTGAACCAAGGTCATTAAAGGTCAGTGACCTTGATCTAATTTTCACGTGACCTTGACACCCACCATATTGCATGTGACCAGCATCATATCACATGTTTGAACGCTTGAGTTGAAACCACGAAAAGAGAGCAAAAGCGCAGCTAGTGCGCGCCGACGTACGCCGAATCGCGATTCCGGCCAAATGCATGGGCTCGTAATAATAACTTAATATCAGATGCTGATTTACCGCTACTCAGTCAAGTTAGAACCATTTCTTGGCCGCGGTCACCGGTCCAGGCCACCACATTTCGTACCTATTACACCGCGCTTGCTCAATGCTCAGTTCGTATTGTAAAAGCACTACGGCACAGCATAGATGCAGGCGCTCTACTCCTGCCATCTATGGTTGAAAAATGAAGATAATGGTTGTTGCGGTACAGTATCACTACAGGCGCCGATAATGCTTTATAATTGTACTTTTTGTGTTAAGCCTGCAAGAGCTTTTGCCTTTTGCGCTACCTACAATTAATCTTTTTTGTCACTTTTTTCATTTTTATGTTGGTAAATGAAGCGCAGTTCAATTGTCTCCCATTGACTTACCTATAATAGAAATGTCGCCAAATCAACAGAACCCTAGGTCAGTGACAGTGAAATACCGAGGTAGAGGTACTTTACGTATATATGGTGCTCTTAGTAATCGCTGCCAACGTTTTAGACCGATTGTTCAGTCTGTGTAGCTATGACGGGCATTATAACTTTTCCTAAGGTAAGGCCACTTGGACGTAACCTGGTAACCTAGCCTTGAGTGACCTGGGTCTGAAAGTTATGCAGCATGTGTGAAAAAGATGCATGAAAGGGTGTGCTAAAAACGGCGGCGCTCCATAACGCCGTTTTCGAGATATTTACATAAACCTACATGGGGTGTCCAAGCATCCCCACCGCCCGGCGCGGATAATTTTTGCACGTGCAGAGCGCACCTTCGGGGTCCATCAGGAGATGGATATGCTCAATAACTATGCGGGAATACATTCTGGGTGGCCTGTGCAAATTTAGCACTTTGAGCTTGCCAGCGCTACCCGCTCTGCCCGTATATGTGACACAGAGTGCAACATCAAAAGGTTTGCACGTGCACAGCACGTGCACCGTGTACCCCAGCACATCTATTTGCACAGCGCCTTAAAGCGCTCGTCCAGTCGTGTCAGTGTGCCAAATTTGGTGTGCCTAGGTCAAGGTTTTCCGGAATCGGAGGATGCCTCCTCAAAACATATTTTTCGCCCCTGGCGCGTGCATTCCGCACCCCCTGCTGCCGAGCATACTATATGTTAATGGTCAAACACCGGGACATGTGACCTGTGAATTTGGCACCTGTGCCGCCCACCGTTTAATTTGGAGCGTCGCTTAAAGGTTTTTGCCCTTCCTGACTTTGTCGGCACGTGGCACGCGCCACGTGACACCGAATGACCTGTGACATGCATCATCACCTGCCTCAAAGCATTACCCGTCGAACGGTACCACCAGCATCTCGATCCGATCATCCGTTTAGACGCAATTCCAATTGTATTGGCTCGATGACCTTTCAGAGCACGGGTTTTTGGCAACGTAAAATGGCGCCTTGTCGGCTTCACCTGAATGGAGGTGGTTGCGGGTCCAGTTTATTTATACGTCCGTGGCGCCGACAGTGACGCCAGCTTTACCGATACCATAGCCACAATGGCTACGTTTCCAAGACACGTCTAAATCAGTTTAGAGAAATTTCACGTGTGTTTTTCTCGGACACTTTTCACCTTATGCAAAAACACAAAAAACGAGCGTATTGTTTTTAGCTGGCACCTAATCCTATCTTTACATGTTAGTGCTGCCTAAATGCTGTGATGGAGCAAATCCATTTAGCAAAATCGGCCCAACCTGTGTCATGGAAAGGTAGCCATTGGCATAGTTATGCCGCCTGTGCATGTTCTTTTCCGGTGATTTGTCGAAAGTTGTTTTTGGTTTCATGCCCCACTGAGAGATATTTGCAGTAATCACTGATCAGATTTTCTTGTTGAAAGCAATGTCTTGTCCTTAGATCGTCCTATCGAGCTTATAACCTGATGCCTGATGGTATGATTGTGTGATTGTTGCAGCCGGCATTTGACTGGCCGGTGAGCGCCACCAGGCAGCAGCCATGGAGGCGATGCCACGTCTGCCTATGATCAGCTTCCAGCTGAAGCAGATTCATAAGTCGACTACGTTCTCGGATTTCCTCAGGCGCGTAAGTTGTCAAGAGCTCAATGATGCGTCAGTGAAGCAAGTGCAGTAGTTACGTGTGATTCACTTGTGTCTTCTTTTCTTTCTGGAGATCTTTTTTCATCCCTTCTTTCAAGTATAGACTATTCCCGATGCATGTGGCTGAGCTGCTGACCCCTAGTGCACATGCCAGTTTCCACGTGTTAAACCCTTGCCCGTATGTATGGGGCGTGGTGGGTCGAACGGATTCCCCCTCGGTTTTTCGCGGATAAATCGCGTAAAAAGCGGCTAGTTACAACGTCTTTTAGTACCTTTGAGTTAATCAATTTTACACATGCCCTGATAGGTTCATGACCCTGACCCAAATGACCTTTGACCTGTGACCTATTTCTCGGGGCCATCTTTGCCTGGAATCGCGATTCGGCGTATGTCGGCTCGTAGTAACCGCGCGTTTGCAGTCTTTTCGTGGTTTCAAGCGTTCAAGCATTGATATGATGTTGGTCTCATTCATTAGGGTTGGTTGCAAGGTCACCTGAAGGTCAGATCAGGTCATTGACCTTTGATGACCTCGGTTTACTTTTCGGGTTTTACATATTCTTTCTTAGGCTAGGTTTTGGAGCTGAATTCGAATTTAGCAACCGTTTATGAAGTAGTTTTAGTGCCTTCGTAATATGTTACGAAGCTGTCAGAGGCGGTTGACAGTTGACACCTACAACGAACCTACAACCTTATAGCAGCCATACTTTACGGCGTTCTAACAGGTCCCGATTTTCTCGACTTTTGGGTCATTGGCCTGACCTGGAAGGTCAACCAATGATCTAGGACCTTAAAATTGGATATCGTCGGCTTGCTCTAGTCACGGGCATCACGCTCGTTTTGTCCGCGAAGCTCTAGCTTGATCAGGGGCCAAGCGGCAGGGGAGGGGGCCTCTTTTCGTTCGCGGCTGCCAAATTACCGATACGGGCGAGGGTTAAACAAAGGGGTGTTCCTGTAAGGAGTTATTGGCAAAAAAAAAGATGACCTTTGATGACGTCACATGACCTTAACCCTATTCCTGGCGGGCTCCGCCGGGACAAGAAACTGGCGGGGGGGGGGCCGATTCGGCCCCCCCCTTCAGATCTCAAAAACTACACATCGCAGCGACAAACGGCGAACGGCGTTTGATAGGTCGTTTCAAGATCTACAACTTTTACATAAAACATTTTCAGGTCAGGTCAATATTGAGGTCACCAGAGGCCATCAACGATAAAATGTTTTGGAATTAGTTACCTATATAACTTTTAAACTAAGAAACATAGAGACATAAAACCAATACATTTTTTGTTGCTCTCGCCGAGGCGATGCGAAATAAGCATGTGATGACCTTCACAGGTCAATTTGAAATTTGACCTGAGGTCAAGGTCAGGTCATTCATCAATGAGGTTGTGGGGTATGGTCATGCTGCATACCAAACGACGCGCCTTGACCAGGCGAGCAGTTTGGTACCACTTACAAGTCTTTAGCACCATCTTGTCGTGATTTATTGACAGAAAAACGATTTATGACGTCACATGACCTCAGATGACCTTTGCCGGTGCCCCTGTCAATTAGCGGCACCAGGATCATCACCGATGAGATAATCTTCCATAATACTGAAAGAACTGGGTGGTTTTGACTCGTTTACACGAAGCAGGAGGCGTTTCAATATTTTCCCATAGGCTTGCAATGTAAAGGTCACGAGTCTGGCCTGACCTCAGGTCACAGATATGAAAATTCTGAGATATACAAATTGCACATACTGGTACCCTAACTAAAGCCTGAAGAGAAGAAATTGATCGGTCAAAAACTCTAGCTCTGGCGTGATTGCAAACTTTTCTGAGGTAGGGTCACCAAACCGCCTCTGGTGACCTGACCTGAGGTCAGATCAACTAAAAATTTTCAGAAATGTTGCGTAAAAGCCTTTTGAGAAAAGTCAGAAAATTTGAGCTTCCTAGCTCAAAGCGTTTGGGAGAAATAACCAAAAAACCTCAGGGGGGGGGGGGCTCCTGAGCTCCCCCCCCCGCCAGGAATAGGGTTAAGGCTGAAGCAGACTCTTCCCGCAGTCAGGAAATCGCATGAGAGAGCCTATTCAAATAGGTACATGGAAGCACGCTGGCATCAATTGCACGCACCTCCCGGATGCTTGATGCGGGAAGAATTATATATTTGAATAGGCACTCGCATCCGATTTCCTGAATGCGGAAACAGTCTGTTTCAGCCTTTACAGCGGCCCAACAGCAAAACAGGCCTCAAGGTAGTGAAGGTTGATCGTATATGAAGTCATGTATGGTATATGGGGCCATTCTGACGCGTTTTAGTGGAAAAACAGGGAGTTGAATTTTCCCCCATTGACTTATAATGGGGAGGTCGAGAAATTGATCTGACCTTAGGTCATCGATATCAAAATTGCGAGATATACAAATTGTAGCTAGCAATGACCTAATGACATCCTCGGACTTTCAAAGGACTCCGTCATCTACTGTAGCTCTGACACGGTGACAAAGTTGCAAAAAAGTGACTTGAGGTTGGGTCATTCAAAGTGACCTGGTGACCTGACCTTAAAAGTTAGGAGGTTCAAACTGGCACACCATGTGCAAAATTGATGAGATAATAGTCATACCAAATTTTGCGGCGCTACGCGTCGCGGTTTTTCCGATATTTGCCAAAAACCTCAGGGAGGGGGGCGGATAACCGCCCCCCCGTCGGTGCGCGGGTTGAAAGTGCGGCACTTGTTGCGCGCAAAGCAGCATATACCACCGCGTGCTACACTGAACTCTATAATGTGGAAGGCGCATCGGCCGCCAGATGGTGTCCACTGTCCAACGGTGCCGCCATGTTGCGCAGCCAGGAAGCGGCCGCCGCCTGTGTTGGGGAATAGGGAATTCGGGACCTCGATTTACGTTTGCGGTCGCTGCATCCGTTACGTTCAAGCTATGTAGACACGGAACCCGGCATCTTACGCAGAATTGAGTGGAGAATAAGATGAAATCCTAAAAAATTCTCAGATACAAGGAACTAATACGTTAAACCCTTATAAGTCAATGGGGAAATATGAAAATTGCTATTTTGGCGCCGAGAATGATCTGAAACCATCTCAAGCATATAGAATCATGATTTCATGCACTCCTTGCAAGGTTCTATGCTTCATATTTGCATTGTTGCCCTTGCGTGACGTCATTTGTGACGTCACAAGGGTCACAGTTTTTCTTCGATAACTCCCGATCAAATTGAGCTAGCGAGTCGGGAAAGCCACCAATGGACTCAGGAAGACCTGCCCAATCGAATGATATGCGACATGACCTCTTTCGACCAACTTCGTGACCTGGGGGTGCTGACCTGACCTTGACCTGAGGTCAACACCCTAAGTTGACCTGACCCGAACAAAAAGTATATCACTCGATGCGCCTGAGCTAGCTGAACACGATGATGCTAAAATCGCGGCTCTACGGCCATTTTTGGCGAAGTTATTTACCAAAAAACCGAACCCGTGCCTTAGATCACTTGACTTGACCTCAGTGGTCACCGGTTGACCCGGGACCTTTACTGTGGGTTCCTACCAGTCACTCTGCATTATACTTTGTCGCAAACGACCACTTTACCGCTTAATTCTAGTTTAATTAGCGGCGCATAATTAGCGAAGTGGGTTCAATCAACCCCCTCGGCCGGGGCAAATGTAGGTCCGGCGAGTGAAGTTGGGGAATTCTGAAGATACGATCGTGTTCCCCACTCAATTCTGCGTAAGATGCCGGGTTCCGTATCTACGTAACTTGAACGTAACGGATGCGGCGGCCGCAAACGTAAATCGAGGTCCCGAATTCCCTGTTCCTCAACACAGGCGGCAGCTGGTTCCTGGTCTGCGCAATATGGCCGCCACCGTTAGACACTACGGCCAATAGGGTTGAAGCGGCAGTGCTCCCCTGTGGCGTGCTACCAAACGTTTTAGTAAAAGATTTAAAATCGTTAGCTCTGCGCTGACGTCACATATTCAGAGGTGGCATTCTAATGCATTAACCCCTCTGAATCCAAGTGCTGCAACTTTGAAATAAGATATTTTTGATTTGAGGCATTTCTCGATCTTGTGAGTGCTCAAACCGGTAAGTGCAAGCCAGGGACCCCATTTTGGCTATCTCAACTCAAAACCAGGGGTGCGGAGCCGGAGTCGGAGCCGGTATTTTTTGTCCGGAGCCGGAGCCGGAGCCGGAGCCGTCAAAAAAGACGTCGACTCCGGCTCCTTTCTTGAAGAGGAAAATATTGACCTAGTTCGGTTTGACAGTACAAGGGAGTATAAAACATGTGGTATTCAAAATAGCCTTATTATGCAAATACAGAAGCAACGTGAACTCCCTTCGTCTTTTTTCTTCCACGCGTATTTAATTGTATAGAGGATGTACTGAGTACTGGAGCGGGAGCCGCCGGAGCCGGAACTATCAGGGGCATTCCACGATAGATCGACCAAAGCCGTACACCCTCATATTTTATTTTTTGCTTAAAATTGGTCTAATGGGTTGTTATGGGCGGGGAAGCCAGCTGTGCCAAGGATTTTTTTCTTCGAACACCGGTTTCCGAGATATAGCCTCAGGCAATTCCTGGAGGTCACGCTGCAACCCTATGTTTGGCGGCTTATAACTCAGAAACTATTGGTTTTCAATGGTAAAAACTTTATATGTTTCAACTTGCAATCAACCAGAGGCCTCTTGCACCAAAATCCTCTTGCACCAATGCTTGGATTATATTGCATCGTATACCCAGTCCAAGTCTCAAATGTAACAATTTGCGTGCAAAATCTAGCAAGCACATGTAGGATTATGTATTGGGCTATTGCAAACAAATTTACCACCGTTAGATTATGCTTATTCTGAAACCGGTTTTTCGATTTTACCTAGCTAGGTAGTTTGGTGCAAGAGGCCTCAGCAAACGTTTTGGCTATCTCGGATTTTCGATTTTTGAAAATTTTGATCACGTGACATCTTGATCTTTTTTTCGAAGAGTGACCTTGATATTTTCCCAACTGAAAGTCGCAATTTTGTCTGATGACGATTAAAGCCTTATCAATTGTCATTCATATGCGACAATAAAAAAGTGGCTTTCGGCCTGCATTGACCTGAGATCAGGTCATTTTTTGACCTGTCCTTTATAAGTCAATGGCAGAAATATCGGCTACCACCGAAACGCATCTGACCGGTTCAAATACTTTTGAATCATGTTGAGTTAGGCTATTATTGATGGCACTGGTGCAGCTTTGTATCGGTGACCCGCTGAAAGGTCATCCAAGGTCACGCGTTGAACACACAATACTTTTCCGTTTTTGGCTGTACCTTTTGATCTAATAAAGAAACAGACGTAGAATAGGCACCAATCCGTTTGCTTTCGCCTAGCGCCAGTTCGTTTTGAATTTCGATACCGATGACCTGAGGTCAGGTCAATTTCTTGACCACCCCATTATAAGTCAATTG